ACCCCCTACTCTACACACCACCGTCATCGCCAGTCTTCCTCTTTCCCACCTGGACCACTCCTCACCCCTGTGGTTTGCCTTACCAGCTCATTTCAACTTGGTCCTTCTGTTACTTTTCTAATTAAAATATAATTACATCATTTCCCTCCATTCCCTTTCTTTCCTCCAACTCCTCTCATGCCCCCCACCACTCAACCCGACTCCTATCGAGTTCCTGGCCTCCTCCTCCTCTTCTTTAATTGTTGTTGTTACATACATATGCACACGTATATAAAACACAACCTGCTGTGTCTGCTCAGTGTGGCTTCCGTATATACAGTTTCAGGGCTGACCACTTGGTGTTGGGTCACCAATTAGAGGGTAGACCACTTCCTCAACTCTCAGAATCAACTTGATATTTCTCTCTGCTTTTTACTTAAGAGTCATTCCAAACTCCTTGGTCTAGCAAGCAAAGCTAAACAGGATCCAGCCCCCGACTGGAACTAACAATTCCCTAAAGTCTATAAAAAATATCTTGTCATTTCTACATGTGTTTAGCTCCACGCTTTCCATTTCTGCATTTAATGTAGTGCACTAGACATGAAGGCCATAGACAGCCATACAGTGTGTTGCTGGCCAAGACAATACATAGGTGTCCCGGCTATGGAAAGAAGGGGAAGTTACCAAGGATATATTTATTTAAATGACACGTTTCCTGGTTCTCATGGGATAAAATACCTGTTTCTGTATCTAATAGTCCTTCATCCATACCTGGGTGGCAAGCCAGGCAGACAGGGCCCTATCTCAGCTTCACTTAGCCTTCAACACTCTATTAGCCCCTGAGCTAGATAATGACAGCATGTTCGTAGGGTCTCTAGATGAAAGAAAAGGGTTACTCATTCAAAATTAAAGGTCAAAATAATGAACTTAATATAGAACTAAGCCCTACTTTATGTACGATAACAAATATCCTGAAGCAACACCGGGGGATGTTAGGCATTAATTATTTTCTAAATCACCCAATTATACATCATTTCATGCTAATCTAAATGATGCCGTTTCTCTCTCGCAGACACCGCTGAGCTCTAGACAACCCCCATATCTGTGTATAAAAACCAAAGAGCCCACAGGCAGGTGATGTCTTGTTCTCCTTTGAAGTTCCGGCTGCCCACAGACAAGTGGAACATTTGCCCTGGCACCATGTCCCTCCGGTTTTCTGGCGGATCCAGGCACGTTGGCCTGCAGTCGGGATCTCTCAGGCCATCCAGCGTAGGCGCAGGCTTTGCAGGCAGCAATGCAGGTGGCAGTTCGGCTGCTGGTAGTGGATTTTCTTGGGCCTTAGGAGGGCCCCTGAGCAGTGCTCCTGGTGGGAGCCATGCCACTGGTACACTGGGAAATGCTGCTGGTGTTGGCTTCGTTGGAAATGAAGGGGGTCTCCTCTCTGGGAACGAGAAGGTCACCATGCAGAACCTTAACAACCGCTTGGCCTCCTACCTGGATAGTGTGAAAGCCCTGGAGGAGGCGAACGCTGAACTAGAGAGACAGATCAAGAACTGGCATGAGAAATACGGACCTGGATCTTGCCGTGGACTTGACCAGGACTACAGCCAGTATCATCTGACCATCGAGGACCTTAAAAGCAAGGTAAAACCATAAACTAGGAACTAGTCAAATTTCCAAAACTTAATAACTCCCAGCAAAAGTATATAGAATCACAAAGGGAAATTGTGTAATGGCTGTTCTCTAATTTGTATTTAATTTTAATACGTAATTCCCAATACTCAAAATCAGGAAACCTTGATTTATGAATTTCAGTGTAGCTAAATGTTAATTCCACTGTTTATTTTGAAATACATTTATAGGTAATTATTCTATTCTAAAAACAAGACAATTACATGAGAATAAACTTAAAATGTTACTTTTTAAAAAATTAAATTCTAATTATTTTGATAATTGCACAAGTAAAAATTGAAGAGGCTTAATTATTTTTAATAATTAAATAATAAATAACAAAAGCAAAGTTATTTCTGTTAACTCCCATTTAATTTCTTCTAGATTATCTCTTCCACCGCTGCTAATGCTAATATAATTCTGCAGATTGACAATGCCAGACTGGCTGCTGATGACTTCCGATTAAAGTAAGTGACAGGTGACAATGGTTTCCCCCAAGTCAAAGCTCCTATCTGTTTTTGTTGTTTAATTTTTTTTCATTCTCATCTCAAGTAAAATGAATTATAATCCAAAAGAGTAAAGGAATCAAATAATTTGTTACAAAACGACAGTCAACTTGAGTCAAAATGTAACATATTCATTACATCCATGGAATAAGCTGTCCATGCCTGCCTAAACTAATGCCAAGCCCCAAGTCAATGTTTAGTGACCATTGTTCACTCCATAAGGATGTTAACTTAGATAAGATTACAAAAGGGTGCTTTCACTTAACTGTGATAGGCACTGGAATCTGTGTGGGTTAGCCACTCATTGTCCTATACAGAACCAGAGGGAAGGGTCTTTCTCTGTGTCTAGCTGGTTTTGTTGTTTTTTTGTTTTGTTTTGTTTTTTGTTTTTGTTTTTTTTATGACAGGGTCTCGCTGTGTAATCCAGACTGGTCTAGAACTCACAATACTCCTGCCTCAGCACCTGAGTTCTTGGAATACAGACATGGACTACCACATGAGACTTTTTCTGTGGATTTTTATAATATTGAGAATCCTGATTTGGTTTCAGATTCCCAATAGGCATCGGGTTGAGGTTGAAGCCCTCAGCTTCTTGAAGAGCTAACTTGCACTGAGATCCGTTTCATTTCAACCCCCGCCCCCGCCCCAGGTATGAAAATGAACTCACCCTTCACCAAAATGTAGAGGCAGACATCAATGGATTGCGCCGCGTCCTTGATGAGCTGACCCTCTGCAGAACGGACCAAGAGCTGCAGTATGAATCCCTGAGTGAGGAGCTGACCTATCTCAAGAAGAACCACGAAGAGGTAAGAGACGCTTCACCGAAATCCCGTGAAAACGCTCCAGAGGGGAGGTGCTGCAATCCCAGCACTCATCCATGCTCACAGAAATCACACAGGAAACCTGCTTGCCTCCCACGAGAGCGTTAGAGGAAGGGAATTTAGAAAGGAGAGGAGACTCAAGTGCAGCTTAGCACGGGAAGAATAAGGCCACTAGGGAGTGTTGGCAGAAGTATGGTCCCCAAACAAGAAAACCAGAGGCAGGAAAAGAAGGGGCTGGAGCACAGTGGAATCCATGTCTCTTAAAGTCACAGCTACTGAAAGAAGGCAGCTTTGACTACACTGAGGGTGGGGTAAAAAGCCACTCACACTGAGAGCATCTGCTACACTCTCCATGATGGGTGTAGGCTAACTGCAAGTAGTTGGATTTTTGAAACAACATGGCAACAAGAATTTTCCTTTGTATGGAGTCTTACACAAAACTTTGAAGTACAGAAATAAACTAATAACAGCTTTTTTAAGGGCAACCTGTGTGTGTGTGTGTGTGTGTGTGTGTGTGTGTGTG